GAGATGAGGAAATAATTTTTTATTTTAACATGAAAATTACTTTGTACATGCATGGACTATTCAAATCAAATACTCAATATACTTCATGGACAAATCCTTATTTTATTTTATTAAAAGTACTTCACAAAAAGTATGATTTTTTGTATGTGAAAGACTTATAATGTTAACTGAAAGACATACTATTGAAAGTTAGAAGTATTAAATATATAATGACTTTAAACGAGTACAAAGAGGTAACGTGGTCAGTGAAATTGACTGAGCATGTGTTGAGTTCCTCTCTTATTAGCTTATCCTCTTTTGGTGTATTAAGCTTAGCATGTATTAAATTGATATTGACACATGATCATTTATCATATTCATGTATATAATACCCCTGATAAAATATTTGTAGTAATGTTTTAGGGGTTGAAAAATGGGATAATTTTATTAGGAACTTTGTTTAGGAATACTTTAATATTTGTAACATAATAGTGCTTTATGAACCATAACATCTGGTTCATGTGTTGTTTACTGGTTGAGTAACTTTTTGGCCATTTAAAGGTAAGGAATGCTAACTTCAGGTATTAAATTTTTGAATCTTTTCATTAAAAGATAAAGGCTTTAATAATATATGATACTGTTCTTTAGATTTGAAATGTATAATAGAAAACAGAAATGTAGTTGAAAAAAATTGTTTTGATGAATTATTTTGGTTTATATCACAAATTCCATTTACTGTAGGATTTGATTTAGTGAATTGATATGTTCAATTTTAGTTATAAAGCCAATTAAAAAACTCGCTTGAAATCATTATTTAATTTTACAAAATTAAGTTTTACATTACTTTTTTCTTCTTCTAGATTTTAGAAGGAGTTGAAAGGCTTGGTACTGCGTATCTAAAACTTCATCAAGCTGGTTGTGTTATTTTTTTTACATGGACTGCGTTTGTGTTTTGTGATCATTATGAAAAAGTTAAAGTTTGTGTGGATTTTGGTAACAGTGCTGAATGCCTGCATAGTACAGAAACAGTGACGAATGAGCTTCCAAAACTTTGTGAATTTTTAGAATGGTGTTCAAATGAATGGCAAGTTTACATAGATCGTCAGAGAAAGGAGTACAGTGAACTAAATCTATACAGTGTAAAGCAACTTGTCATACTTTGTGTTAGTTTTGCACAGATCTACACCAGAAAAATAAGTAAAATTCCACTTGATACTTTCCTCCTCCTCCAGTTAGTGAAGGAAAACTGTACATTTGATGAAATATACATGCTTATTAAAAATGTTTTGGAAAGTAGTGCCAAAATTACTAATAAAGAGGATAAAGAAAATCCTGAAAGTCATCAAAATCTACAAAATAGCATAACAGCTGCTAAGTGTGTGAGTGACTTAATATCTAATGGCTTAGATGAGAAAGTTGTGAAAGCTTGTATCTTAGATATAAAATCTCAGAATGTGGATGACATGTTACAATGGTGCATTGACCATATGAATGATCATCAACTTCTTGACACAATTCTTCAAGAAGCTGATCATGAGATTGTTGATGAAAATATAGAAAATCTCCAAACTGACATTAAGGTCTTTGGAACTGAAATTACAGAGGGTATCACCTCTGATGAAACTATGAACCTTGAGGTTCTTGATGAGAATACTGATGGTTCAATGAGTTTTGAAACTGATCATAAGGTTTTCAGTGATAGTGATAATACAGATATGGATCATCACAAGGTTCTAGATAAGAATAAAGCTACAAGTGGCATTAATGATAAAACTTATCATGAGGAACTTGATGAAAGTGAAGGTTCTAATAGTTTCATCATTGATGATACTGATCATACGGAACTTGATGAAAGTGAAGGTTCTAATAGTTCCGTCATTGATGATACTGATCATACGGAACTTGATGAAAGTGAAGGTTCTAATAGTTCCATCATTGATGATACTGATCATAAGGAACTTGGTGAAAATACTGATGACTTCATCTTTGATGAAGTAGACAATAAGGTACTGAATGAGTGTGAAGGCTCTGTTATTGATGAAGCTGATATGAAGATACTGGAAGAATTTGATGATGATATACTAGTTGAAAATTATTTTAGAGAAGATTTTGTCAGTGATAAAACTAATTTCAAAACTCAGGCTAAAAATGGTGATACTGCATGTTTCATCAACAAGGAAGATACATGTTTGAATAATAAATTCAGACAATCAGATCATCAAAATTATCTGCCTGATATGACTCTTAGCAGTGTAAGAGATATCACACAAGAAATTGTTAAGATGTGTTCTTGTTCTGAAGAGAACTTTTTAACAAAGTTAAAGACAATATGGAAAGAGTTTCTTGATTCAGTTACAGTTACCAGCATTACTGATTATATTAGTATTACCCACTTAGGAGAAATGTTAAGGTTACTTAAGAAAAAGTCAAAGAAAGTAAATATAACTCGTATGTGGCCAGAATATCTTCAAGAAGGTCAGGTCAATCTAGTTGTGGTACCTGAATCAGATATCTACAGTTCAGTACTTTCTGTATATAGTGAGGATGAGAAAAAGCCTCTTCCAAGAGTTGATGAAGTTCTTGTGTGCCAAAAAAACACTTCTATTGAGGAAGTTACTTTGCTGATAAGCCGAGCTATGGAGGACAAAGAAGGAAAGATTTTCAGCTTGATTAATGGCCATTTGCTTGATTATGAAAATAGCAAAACACTGGAGAGTTATCTCACAGGTATCCTGTCAGAAACACTGCATCTTGTTATATTTTGTAGCAGAGAGCAAGAGAAAAGTTCTTATGTGATAACTGCTTTTGAGCAACAAATTGTGCTGAGATTCCCAAGTCCTAATTTTCAGTATTTGAGGAAGTATGTCCATAACCATCTTCAGCACACTTCAACTGTATTAAGTGCTGCTGTAGTAGACTCCAACAGATATCTTACAAGAATTATAAGCTCTGCTCGACCTTGTCTTGGTAAAACTCTGGCAGTAAAGAGGATGGAAGAACAGCTTCAGTTTTATACACACAGAAAAAAAATCTTAAATTCAGTACAGTTGCAGTCTAGAATAATTGATATGACTGAAGTTATCATCTTTTTAAAAGATTGTTTGAAAAATGTGGAAAACTGGATGCAACCACAGATATTTCATCTAGATATTACTCCCAGTGTAAGTATTTGTTTATATATATACAGAGAGAGCTAATAAGCCTGATTCATACAGTTTAGTATTATGAGTGTATGATATCAAGGAAAAACATTGTCTTGTGTACAAAGTTCTTACAGCTTTCTTTTTCTAACCAAAATATAGTGTTCCTAATTTTTATGAAGCACCATATTATTGGTACACTGTAATACAATATTTTCCATTAAATTCTTATTATTATGCTAAAGATGCTTATATGATTAAAGTAAACAGCACTAGATATTAGAATATGTAAAATATTTAATGATTATTCATGACAGTTTGACTTCAGGGAAGAGAAATGTCTACCATTTGACAGTTTTTTTTTTCCCATTTCTACTGTCAAAGTGGTTCTCCACCTATTTCGTTCAAATCCTGTTAGAAAATGTTGGTAGATGGAGTAGGGGTGCTGGGGAGGAGACAAAATATTAGTACTAGTAGGCTCAATCTGAGATTGTTTAGACTGCATTGATTTTTATGTCAAACTGAAACTGATATATGAGGCATCTTTTCACTAGTGACTTGATTTTGAAATTTTTAGTATTAACATGAACTTCAAACAAGTACCAAATTCTGAAATGCATTCCCACTAACCACACATGCTGGGAGAAGGAATAAATTATATATATCATCAAGACTGCAAACATAGAAATTAGGCTTGAATTAGTTATAAATCTAAGTTATTTTCAGCCGACTCTTGTATTGTATGGTTTGTAATTCCAAATGATCATAGATTTTGTTTTATATATATTAGAAGTATGTATATGTGTATATATATATATATTGCATGGAAGTTCTAGAGGGTTCATATTCCCTAGAATTTTGAAAAGAATAACTAAAGCTGAAAAAGAAGAAAGGAAAAAATACAAGAAAATAGAAGTTGCTTCAAAGAAAAGGAAGGGTCTGTTCCAAATAGTGGATATCTCATTCTCAGTCACCTACCTTATCTTTATCTGCACTCTGTTCTGATTTTTAATACACTTGAACTTATTTATACTGAAAGTAATTGGGATTGAATTAACAGGATAATTTAACCAAACAAACAAAGAATTTTATAGGCATGCTTTTCCACTTGCTAAAGTCTGATTTGAGATGCCATCATGTACATTTTTATGTACTTTTATGTCATTGATTTTTCATGTATATTTTACCACCCTGCCTATATTCTCCTTTATTCGGATCGTTCCTTTCTCCCAAAGACGTTGGTGGCTATGGAGGGTAGCTCATCTTTTTCACCTATTTTCCTTCCTTCTATTTTTCATCTCTACCCTCATCCCAATCCGGATAGACTTCTATGTCCGGTCCGTACTCTTCGTTGTTATATTACCTGCACAGCTTCCTTCTGTGGTACCCATTCCCGACTCTATCTCTTGGCAGTATTCCCCTGTTTGGGATCTTTCCACTTCTACCCTCACCAAATGGGTTTGACTTTTGATTTGATTAGCTTATTCCTCCTTATCTTCTTCCTCCTGGAATTTGTTCCAATTGTCCAGTTGTTCCAATTGATTTGACATCTCAACTTTTCCCTCGCATTTCATCTTCGTCGGCCATTGGAGGAAATCCTACAGTCGGGTATGTGAACTATACCTGATACATTCGTCTCCCATTATTTACACCATATTACAGTCACTTCTTTGTTGTGTTTCCTTTTTCCACCTGTGGCTGTTCTTCAGGCTTCATTGCGACTTTGACTTTTCCTTTCAGGGGCCCTTTCTTCATTCACTCATTATATGGATCTCTCTCTCTGTGGCGAGGGTGCCTGACCAAGTATTCTTCAACTTGAAATCCGCACTGTACAGCCCTGTTGACTCATGCTTTATCTTCCATGGCTTTGCAATGCTCACTGTTGAGATAGAGTGTTCTACAAAATCGCTGGCTTCGTACATGGCTTTTGTCCAGTCCTTTGTGAGGAATTCTGGACTATCTACACATGTAGCTTGAATCC